ATGACATGAGACAATGTATATGTGAACTGCTGTATGAAAAGTGAATTTACTCTGTAAATCTTCACCCAAATCCTAATAAAAAAAAAAAAGAAAAGCACACACACAAAAAAAATGATAGGCTGTGTCTGTTTTGCTCACCAGTGCATTCCAAGCTAATCAATTTCTGTGGAATTAAAGCTCAGGTAATATAAAATCTAAGATGAAGAATGGAGCACATCACCACCAATACAATAAAACCAAACGCACTGCCATAGAGTAGTTTCTGATTCAGCGACTCCCTTTGGGTTGCCAAGGCGATAAATTTATAGACTGCCCAGTCTTCCTTCCCAGTAGTGGCTGGTGGGTTTGAACCGCCAACCATCTGGTTAGCAGTCAAATGCCTTAGGCACTACCCCACCAGAGCTCCTATAACTTTGAGCAGGTCTCCTAAAAAAGTCACAAACCATACACAGATTATCATCATTTCAGAAATACCCTTGTGTATAATGAGAAGTATGTACAAATAAAGAAGAAATGCCTATTTCCTCCTGGGAAGCTGGTTACAGACATTTTCACTATTAACTCTTGTGTTCTTTAATCATATTCATATAAACACGGTGCTTTATTTGAAATTTTTAACTCTAGGTGTAAGAACATCAAACTCCTGGGGAACTGCACACTTACATTGTACAACTTCCTTCCGGTTCCCTAGTCTAGTTGGCATCCCTTCCCTGCCTTTATGTAGTTTCCGAGGAAGAACTGGCTTTTCACTTCCAGCCCTTCCTTCCTCACCCATTTTCCGCCCTCAGCGCACCTCGCCCCGCCCCGCCCCTATTTGCTGCAATCCCACCATGAAATCCCTTGGCTGGTCCGGCGTTTGGGAAGTGGGAGAGGTTGGCCAGGTCAGCACTCCCCGACAGCGCCCCCAAACTTTTTCTCCCTGCCTGGTATCGGAGACTGTCAGCTTTCAAACCTACGCCAGAGACGTGTTCTGGCTACGTTTTCGAGTGGAAAGAAAACCATCTTTCCCACCTTAAAGCACTGCCCGCGGGCGGGTAAAGTCCAGGTGTTTACACTTGTTTTCGAGCCCCCGAGCTGCGCCGGCATTGATTGGCTCCCTTGCGCCGCACACGCTCGGGGTCCGCCTTCTCCGCGGTCGCGCCTGGGCCCCGCCCCCTCGAGCGGCCATCTGCTTTGCTGTCTGCCTCCCAGTCTCTCACCAGCCCGTTTCGCCCCAGCCCCCTTCCCGGTGCCGGCTCCGCCCCTTTCCCCTCCCCCGCTCGTGGTTCAGAATCGTCCCGGCCGTTGCCAGGGAGACAAGCCGATATCAGGCAAATAGGCGCTCGGGAAAGAAAAGGGGGGAAAAGCTACACGGCAGCCTGGTAACAAAGGAGCAATAAATGCAGCCCCCAGATGGAAGGCTGAGGACGCGTCAGCGAGGAAATCTGAATTCGAGCTAGCAATCACCCCAGTTTAAAGCAGGGAGGGGGCTCAGGGTTAGAGGAGAGATCAACCACCTTCAATGAGCTTTTGAGAGTCGTCTGGATGGTGGTGTTGATCAGCCCAGTTGGCTTTTCGGTTTGGAATTCCGCTAAGACTAGGGCTTCTAGTCCATCGCGGTGGTCGGGGTCTTGGGCCAGGCCAGGGCTCCCCTAAGGGTGATAACAAGTTTGCTGGCAAGATGCAATTCTACGGAAACGTCTTTACATCGGCTCTGGGGAATATGGCTTCGTGACTCTATAATACATCTGAAAGAACTAGACAGTGGGAAGACGAAGCTTCACGTAACTCTGTTCAGCTTGGTGGTTTTCAAAGAAACACTTGAACAAAGAGTTACTGGCTTGAACCAACCATCTCTTTCACTCAGTGTGACCCATTTCCCTACAGTGAGCAGAAAATAAAACTGTTTGAGAATTCAGAGCCAAGCACCAAGAGAAATGAGCCTTTCCCTAGACTGCTTCTCATCTCCATAAGCGAAAGAGTATTCAGTTCAGGATCACGAAATGTAAACGAGAAAAGGTGGTTTATTTTGTCTCGAGTGAAAACGTTGAAAGTGAAAATGTAGTAGAGAAATGCTTATTACTCTGTATCCTAGATTATTTGTTTATTTATTCTCTCTCCCCACTACCTTAAATCAATGCCTTGCCTTTCAAACACACATAACGTCTAATACTTCGGTGCCAAGTGGTGCAGTGGCAGCTCGAGGTATCTGATATCATTTTATACTAAGTCTGTGTCCCAGCACAGCAGGTTTTCCTCTAACCCAAGTTCAACTTGGAGCGTTCCGGGGTCTCCTTGCTATCTCTCAAACTGCAGGCAATTTCTCCCTAGAACTCTAGTCGTCAATCCGGTTGTTTAGAATTTCGACGCTGCTGCCTCCCTCCCTTCCAGGAGCAACCTTCACACTTGTTCAGCAAGAAGAGTTCATCCAATCTTAGCAGCAGGCTGAAAACGGTCCATATTGACGCTAAGTGCATCTCAACTGTAAATATGGATCCGTACACTCGAGGTTGTGGCTTATTTCATCATAAGGAAAATTAAGTATTTTGTACAATGATAAAATGCGAACCGTTTGGATCGTTTGCAAATGACCCTCACTTCATATTGTGGGGTTGGGGGGATCTCTAATTAGGAATAGCCAGAGAAGAGGATTTGACGAGTGCCGCAGGCCAATTTCAAAATATTTTATTTCATGCCAGTGTGAGAGGGGGAAGGGAAATGGCTTCGGCTGCTTGCCGTTTTTGCATTTTCCACATCTGGCCTACAGACCTAATTCTAACTCGCGATCTCGTTTGATGAAATACGATCTTCGTGGTTTAAATACCTTTCAATTTGGGGCGATTTAACAGTTGCAACCGTTAAAAAAAAAAAAAAGCCTGTGTGTTTGTGAAACCAATATGGACTACAGAAAAAGAAAACAAGCCGCAAACACAAATCTCAACCATTGTTTTTAACATTCGCGCGCGCGCGCACGCACACACACACACACACACACACAAATACACACATAAACACACGGGAAGATGGGGGAGGAGAGCGAGTGGAGAGAGACAGACACGGACCTAGCCCGACTAGAGTCACTGCGAGTCAAGTTAACGCTTTCTCCGCCCCTCAACCACAACTATCCCTCCTCCCCGGTTAATTAATTCCAAACAAAGCAAGCCAATCAAGTGATGCATTATTATTATCAAGCAGAGAGAGGTGAGAGGCATGTATTTTTTAATTGATTTATTTATTTGGAGGACGTTAATTCTCAGTCTGAAGCTGATTTTCAAACCGTTTGCAAAGCGCGGCTCCATTGTTCGCCGGGCGCTCAGGCCCCGCCCCCTGCTTTGTGTGCGGCGCGCGGATTGGCCAGCGCGCGCGGGGGCCGCGTCAGCGCCCGCGAGCCCATTCATCTGTGCACTTGGGCGTTGGACCCCGCATCTTATTAGCAACCAGGGAGATTTCTCCATTTTCCTCTTGTCTACAGTGCGGCTACAAATCTGGGATTTTTTTATTACTTTTTTTTTAAAAAAAAACTACACTTGGGCTCCTTTTTTTGTGCTCGACTTTTCCACCTTTTTTCTCTCCCTCCAGCGCTGCTGCTTTTTGATCTCTTCGACTGAAATTTTTTTATCCGGAGTGTATTTAATCGGTTCTGTTCTGTCCTCTTCGCCACCCCCATTCCCCCCTCCCTCCGGTGTGTGTGTGTGCTGCTGCTGCCGCCGCTGCCGCTGCCGCTGCTCGCCCCGTCGTTACACAAACCCGAGGCTCTTTGTTTCCCCCTTTGGATCTGTTGAGTTTCTTTGTTGAAGAAGCCAGCATGGGTGCCCAGTTCTCCAAGACTGCTGCGAAGGGAGAAGCCTCTGCGGAAAGGGTCGGGGAGGCGGCTGTGGCCTCGTCGCCTTCCAAAGCGAATGGGCAGGTAAATTCTACCTGTGATTCTGGTTCTTTCTTTAGTGTCTTTCTCTGCTCTCGACGCTTCCCCTTCCCTCCTAGTCGCGCCCGAGGCGCATTCGGCTGAGATGAGCGTGGCCGAATTCAGTCTGAAAGTTGAATGGATAGCGATAGCCTTAATTGTCAATTTCTTACAGGAGACTATCTCAAAGTAGTGTTTCTGGAGAATTCTTGAGTAGATGGGAGGAAAGGGGTGATAAATTTGACTAAAATGGCGTGGTTTGGAGCTTGGCTGAACGTGACTAGCTGGGTGCCCCCTACCCCAGATAGGTTGCATTTGTATTTGGGGGCACAATGGTGTTTGGGTCGCTTTCGTGTGTCTTGTCGAGAATGGGTCGCCTTCGAGATCTCTGATCTGGTGTAATTGTGTGGGTAGGAAAAGAGGGAAGGGGGAGGGGGCAGTGGGGATGGCGGTGGAGAAAGGCGAAGAGGGAAGGGCTGTCTTATTGTAAGCCCAGGCGGTGTGCCCTGGGTTCTTGGAAAGGTGGCTGACTGGAGCTGGACACAAGGTTTCGGTATCTTTGGATTGGATATTTCCCAGGGCCCTAAGTCTTTATTCGTAGCTGTCTATGAAATTTGTACACACGTATCTCTGATTTGAGAAGACCCGGCGGGTCCTTAAAGAACCTCTCCAGATGGTTTATTAGAGGCATTTCGTTTGTGTTTCGGTCAGGACTGTACGTGTGCGTGGCGCCTTGACCACCCTTGAGGGGATGCCCTAGCTCTGCCCCGACTACCCCGGTGACCACGGCTGGATAGGGCGCAAGAGGTCGACAAGGGGTGGCTGCTTCGCAAACACTGGGCGCTCACCACGCTTTTTCTGCAGCAGAAGCTGTTTGTTATTTCTCATGCCCAACCAAGTGGGGAGGGCGAGCTCTGCCCAGAGACTTTAAACCCGTTAAAAATGCAAAATGAGCCACCTGGGCGCGCCCAGGCTTCGCGGAATCACTGGCGAAGGCGGGTGTGGAAGCAGAGGCGTCTCTTCAGACGTGATAGGTTTTCCCTTGCCTTGCTGGTTTTGGTCCTACTGGGAGTCGGGGAAGCCACCTGAGCTTTGTTTGCGGACTCTGGGGCAGTGCGTTCCCGGCTCGGGGGCGCCACGGCCGGCAGGCAGGGCCTGCTGGGGTTGGGCGGGGTAGCCCGGCGGCCCCGCCCCTCGGCGCCCGCCCGCGCCCCGCTCCGCACGGTGGAGGCGCAGCGCCCCCTGGCGGCCATGGGATGTCGCGGGGCGTTTGCGCGCCCAGCACGGCGCTTCAAGGCTTAAGTGCTGTGATCACCTGGGAGTTCTTGGTGTTTTGAAAAGATCTTTAGGGTTTAGGGAGAAAGGGGGATGTGTAATATATGCACAGATCACTCACTGGCTGTGGCTCCGTGCCTTCTTCCAAAGGGCGTTTGGTGTTTTCTGTGTTACGTGTTTATCTCTTTCCAAAGCCAGTGAGGCACTGGTGGGATGGGTTATTCTTTGCGATCACATTTCGGGCTCAGTCCTTTGAGCGTTTGTTGAATGGTCGAAGCGACTGCTGTGTCTTTTGGAAACACCAACGGCTAACGGCGCTACCCCATTTCTTCGTTTGTGAGGCTTTCGTCTGGGCATCCAACCGCGCTGTCCCATAAGGAAGGCCTTCGGCTGGACAGAACCCGTGGGGGAAGCTGGTTTCACAGGCCGAGGGTGGGGATGGCGGCGCCCGGGCCGCTTCAGTGACACTCCCACTTTCTCTGTCCTGCAGGAGAATGGCCACGTGAAGGTGAACGGCGACGCCTCACCCGCGGCCGCCGAGCCGGGAGCCAAGGAGGAGCTGCAGGCCAACGGCAGCGCCCCGGCTGCCGACAAGGAGGAGCCCGTGGCCGCCGGGAGTGGGGCAGCGTCGCCCACCGCGGCTGAGAAGGAGGAGCCGGCTGCTGCCGCTGCCGCGGAGGCTGGACCCGCCCCTGCGGAGAAGGAGGCCCCCGCGGAGGGCGAGGTCGCGGAGCCCGGGTCGCCTACGGCCGCAGAGGGCGAAGCCGCTTCGGCCGCTTCCTCGACGTCTTCGCCCAAGGCGGAGGATGGAGCCACGCCCTCGCCTAGCAACGAGACCCCGAAAAAAAAAAAGAAGCGCTTTTCCTTCAAAAAGTCTTTCAAGCTGAGTGGCTTCTCCTTCAAGAAGAACAAGAAAGAGGCTGGAGAGGGCGGTGAGGCCGAGGGCGCAGCTAGCGCCTCTGCCGAAGGCGGCAAGGACGAGGCAGCAGGGGGTGCTGGTGGGGCCGCCGCCGAGGCAGGCCCGGCCTCTGGGGAGCCAGCTGCGGCGCCGGGAGAGGACGCCGCCGCAGGCGAGGAGGGGGCGGCTAGCGGTGATCCGCTGGAGACCAAGGCGGAGGAGGCCGCTATGGCGCCCGAGAAGCCACCCTCTAGCGAGGAAGCCAAGGCCGCCGAGGAGCCCAACAAAGCGGAGGAGAAGGCGGCCGAGGAGGCTGGGGCCAGCGCTGCCGCCTGCGAGGCGCCTTCGGCGTCCGGGCCCGGCGCGCCCCCTGAGCCGGAGGCGGCCCCAGCAGAGGAGCCTGCGGCCGCTGCAGTGTCGTCAGCCAGTGCAGCCCCCTCACAGGAGGCCCAGCCCGAGTGCAGTCCAGAAGCCCCCCCAGCGGAGGCGGCAGAGTAAAAGGGCCAGATTTTTTGAGATAATCGAAGAACTTTTCTCCCCCGTTTGTTTGTTGGAGTGGTGCCAGGTACTGGTTTTGGAGAACTTGTCTACAACCAGGGATTGATTTTAAAGATGTCTTTTTTTTTTTTAATTTACTTTTTTTTTAAAGCATCAATTTTTTCCCCCTTTCCCCACAGATCCCATCTCAGATCATTCTGTTACCACCATTCCAACAGGTCGAGGAGAGCTTAAACACCTTCCTCTGCCTTGTTTCTCTTTTATTTTTTATTTTTTGCATCAGTATTAATGTTTGTTTTTTTTTTTTTGCATACTTTGCATCTTTATTCAAAAATGTAAACTTTCTTTGTCAATCTATGGACATGCCCATATATGAAGGAGATGGGTGGGTCAAAAAGGGATATCAAATGAAGTGATAAGGGGCCACAATGGTGAAATTTAAGTGGTGCATATAATTGCCAAGAAAATGTGCCACTCGAAATGATGGTGTAAAGGCTTAGTCTTTTTTTTTTTTTTTAAGAAAAGTTATTACAGTGTATTTTGTGAGGCAGGTTTACAACACTACAAGTCTTGACTAAGAAGGAAAGGAAAAAAGAAAAAAAAACACCAATACCCAGATTAAAAAAAGAGCATAGTCTTAGGAGTTCATTTAAACCATAGGAACTTTTCACTTATCTCATGTTAGCTGTACCAGTCAGTGATTAAGTAGAATTACAAGTTGTATAGGCTTTATTGTTTATTGCTGGTTTATGACCTTAATAAAGTGTAATTATGTATTACCAGCAGGGTGTTTTTAACTGTGACTATTGTATAAAAACAAATCTTGATATCCAGAAGCACATGAAGTTTGTAACTTTCCACCCTGCCCATTTTTGTAAAACTGCAGTCATCTTGGACCTTTTAAACAAAAATTTTAAACTCAACCAAGCTGTGATAAGTGGAATGGTTACTGTTTATACTGTGGTATGTTTTTGATTACAGCAGACAATGCTTTCTTTTCCAGTCGTCTTTGAGAATAAAGGAGGAAAAAAAAAAATCTTCAGATGCAATGGTTTTGTGTAGCATCTTGTCTATCATGTTTTGTAAATACTGGAGAAGCTTTGACCAATTTGACTTAGAGATGGAATGTAACTTTGCTTACAAAAATTGCTATTAAACTCCTGCTTAAGGTGTTCTAATTTTCTGTGAGCACACTAAAAGCGAAAAATAAATGTGAATAAAATGTAAAAATTTGTTGTGTTTCTTTATATTCTGATAATACCTAGACTTCTAGGTCTTAGGTTAATTTTAAGGAAGATCCTGCATGCCATCAAGAGTAAATTTTCTTGTGGTTTTTAATCTGAAGTTGTCAAACTCTGAATTTCATCATCAGCAGTGTCAGATTACATATGGGAAGATCTTTTAACATTCCGTGTCAAATCTGTTACCATTTATCCGCATTTAATTTTCATTTAAAAATTGAACATAGTACTATTTTTATTGTAGTTACATAGCATGTCAGATTAAATCATGTAAGCCAAAATTGGTGTGACCCTAAGACTATTTAAATGTCTTATGTGAAAATTCATAAAGCTACATTTTCTTGTCAGGCTGGTCCAGAAACAAAAATTTTATACTAAATAAGAGTCTATTTAATCCAAACTGCAGATGGGTCATGAAAAATGACCAAATGTGTTTCAAAAATTGTGTAGTACCTGCCATTGTAATTGCTTAGCACTTGGCTAATTTCCAAATTATTGCCTGGATTCTGTATTATACCTTAATAAAACATGTTTATGTAAAGAAGTAATGGTGTTGAATGGATGACATTGTCAGTTTATGGGCCTTTAGGACTTGTCTCAATTCAATAGTTGAAAGCAATTATTTTAACTGTAAAGATGTTAGCATCTTGTTACTCAAAGGATAAAGCTGAGAATAAGACTTCTTTATATAATAATAATTCTTACTGGTTTATCTGTTCTGCTTTTGACCAACTCCTATATATATATATACAACTGGACTTTTTTTCTTCACTGGACCTTAAACTGAGTTGAATTTTAAGATGTGTGTCAAATACCATTACTTCATTAACTGCAAAAAAAAAAAGTTGGTACTCAGGCCTGCTTTAATGTTTTTGAGGAACAGTGTGCAGTGTAGGGTTCATGAATGCTAAACAACTGAAAAATAAAAGCTTTTGGACATTGGATTTTAATTGGAATAATGGATCATAATCATGATTCATGACGCTTTCTCATTGAACACCCTCCCTACTAACAAAATCAAATAATATTTGGAAGGGTGTATACTTTGTGTTAGGGCTTCCTGATCTTAAAGGATGTTTGAAAGTTAAAAAGTCAAATCTGATAACAAAGGATTGCTTTATGGGCCTTTCCCACTTTACCAACTTTTTCTCAAACATTGATAATCCAGTTGGCCAAGTACAGTGCTGGTATGCAATAGAGAACTCAGTAAAAATGGATTTACTCTCATAAAGTGAGTAGTCAAAAATACTGTGTAGCAACTACTATATATTGTTAGGTTTGTTCTTTTAACAGTTGAAATTTATTAAAATGCATTATTTTTATTTTAATCACTGCCTAGAACTTTTTGGGTGGTATTGATGGAGTGGTGGAATTTTCTCCAAGTGATTAAGTGAAATTGAGATCTACCTTTTCATCCAAAGTTTTGTACACCACATTGTTTTCTAATGCAAAAATGTTAATAATGGCTTTTTTTGTATTACTAAAAATAGCTTTGAGATTAAGGAAAAATAAATAACTCTTGTACAGTTCAGTATTGTCTACTAAATCTGTATTGGCAGTGTGTATAAAGACGTTTGCTATCATTACAAGATAACTTCCTCTGGTTTCTAATAATCATTTGATCCATTTCCTATTGCTTGTAAAATAAAGTTTTACCAGTTGATAATTATTAAGCCTGCTAAAATAGGATTGTTTCCAAATCATATTTTAAAATGCAAGTTTTAGGAAAAAAATTAACTCTTAAGTATTAATGGTTAGAATAATATGTTCACTTTAAAGGATTTAGAAGTTAGGCTTGGCATTATACTTACAAACCAAAAAACCAAACTCACTGCCATGGAGTTGATTCAGATTCATAGTGACCTCCATAGGGTTTCCGAGCCAGTTTTTCTGGAAGTGGATTGCCCCATCTTCCTTCTGCAGAATTGCTGGTGGATTTGAACTCTCAACCTTCTGGTTTAGTAGTGAAGTGCCTTAGGCAGTGAACCACCAGAGCTCCTATACTTAGAATACTAATATCCATTGAAGATAAGTTTATGTGTTGATGAGTCAAAAATTTTAATGTTAAGACTACTATAGGCGTTTGAGAAATAATTTATTTACATTCCTTCCCTCCCCCACATGTGAATATACACTTAATAAAGCCTTGCAATTGAGGTTAAGGATTTGGGGATAGGGTGCTTTTTGCACTCGAAATTTTAGGTAGATCCTTGAATAGCAGTTGGAAGGGGAATATAATTTAATATAGCCTGTCAGCTTTGAAATTAAAATATGGGTAAATAATAAGACCAAGCTTTTACCTTCCTGGTGCAATTTGCACACTGAGCTATTTTATTTTTTTTCCCCCCTCTACATCTCAGCTAAGAAAAAGTTCTTAATGTAGGGTGCAGTGACAGGGATTTTAAAATACTAAATGTTTCTCTAATCCTTGCTGGGGTGGCATTGATGTTTGAGGACTCTTTACAATGCTATTCTGAAAATGAAAAATACTTTTTAAAGGATTGGTGTGAAGTTCAACAACTTTGTTTTGGGATTTTCTGTGTGGTTTAATTATTTTTGAAATATGAAATAGATATACTTGGGTGTAGTTGGCTAAAACTGGGTAAGATATAGATATATAAATAAATAAATATATACACACACACATATATATATATATAAAATTCTAGTAATAGGCCAGTCACTAATGAATTATAAAAACAGTCTTTTCATTGGTACATATTTACACATACTCTTTTTAAGTTGTAGGTAGGTCAAGGTGAAATAGAGATAATTTTTATGGTCATTTATGTGGCCCAAAAGGTATTTTGGAATAGCTCTTTTCAAAACTGCCCAAGGAAATCCATTTCACATATTTTCAGTTAAATATGGCTCATATGTAACCAAAATGCTAAGACCTAGTTTGATCTCTGGTCTAATAAATTAAGGATCATGACTTACAGAAAGTAGTACCTTTCCTCAAAGGATGAAGATGTGCCATCATTTAGGGGAAAAGTCCCTAGGTGGTGCAAACAGTTAAGTGCCCGAATACTGGCTGAAAAGTTAGCCAATGGAGCCCACCAGAGGCTCCTATGAAGACAGGCCTGGAGAGCTGCTTTTCTTTTTCAGAAAAGTCACAGCCTTGAGAGACATGTGGAGCAGTTCTACTCTGCACACATGGGACCTCCATGAGTCAGAAGCAACTCACAGCAAGTAACAGCAACAGATAGTAAGCATTTCTTGTCAAGAAGCTCTAAGAATATTATGAATCGTAGAAGCATCAAATAAATGAGTAAATCTTCCAAGAGGACCACTATCGGGAAAACGGGTTGTGGTTATTCTTTTGAAAAAAAAAAAAAAGTCAATACACTATAGCCTTGTATTGAAAAAGTGAATGAAACACATTTTCTTCCATTCTTAATCATTGAGATTTTAATTTGAATGTTCAAAACTAAAACATGGAACACTTCATAGAATTTTGGTGTAATTATGAGTTCTAATTCTACGTTACAAAGTGAATGTTTCTGTTTCCTTGATAGAGGCTGAATAAAGACTTTTAAAAAAGAACTAAAAGGCATGGTATGTCCTTAGAAATAACCCCAAACCCATTGCCATCGAGTTGATTACGATTCTTAGCGATCCTATAGAACATACAACCCATAGATTTCCAAGGCTGTAATTCTCTATGGAAACAGACTGCCTCACCCTTCTACCACCAGTGGCTGGTGGGTTGGAACCAGAGCTCCTTTAGAAATAGAAGAGTTAAAAAAAAAAAAAGTAAAATCACCCTTTTCATAAACAATTGAAATGGGAAGGATTCAATTTACGGTTACTACCAAGGCAGCTAAATTAATGTTTGCAGTGACTAAGTATTACTTAGTAATGACATACAGTTTTGAAACATACAAGTAAGGCGCACAATACTTGATCTCAGCAGTCCATCCTACAGTACTTTGCTTTCTCTGTTACAAGTGATGGTGGTCAATGACAACTTTTTAAATAGATGACAAAACCATTGTCACTAAAGGTCTATCTTTCCTGCTTTTCTTCTTCTATCATCCTTCCTCCAGCCCAGTAATCCAAAAAGGAAAATTCAACACCCCAAAATGCCAATGTGTAAGCTTAAAACAGTACTACTTCAGGAATGTTTGGAAGGATCTAAAGAAACTATGAAATTATTATTCTGAGATTCTATGTTGACTTTACACATTACGAAGTTAATTTCACAGTAGACAATCATAATTCTATTAAGGATGAGATCTAATTATAAGAGTCCTGATATAAACGGGACTACTGATTTTCCAGAGACAGTTTTTTAAAATTTGAATGCTATAAAATTATTTTAAAAACTGATACATTTTCACTATTTGTTGGTTTTTTTTTTTTTTTTTTAGCACTTCCTAAAACTTACTTTGATCATCTTAGGAACTGTCATAGGACCATATAGATGATGGGTCAAACTGAAAAGTTTTTATTCCCTCAGGTTTTCACCCATTGCTGTACTGTCAAATAAGTATACTTATTGAAAGAGCACTTAAATGTACATTATTAAACCTATATGGATTAATTGTACTAGAATGGAAAATTGGGTGAGAGATAACTTGGCGTTTATTACATTGCCAAGAAACACAAGCAATGGTGTTAGGCATATTTTATATTCCTGAAAAAGTGAAAAATTACTGATCCTAAAATACCCTTATCTACAGTTCTTCCTCTTGGCTGCTCAGCACCAACTTTAAAAGAAAACAAATATCCATCCCAGTTACAAACAGCTGAAAGTATGTAACTATTGCAAACTTTCTAGAAATCTTAGTAATCCTAGTTTCAGTATTTCCATAAAATTAGGACATCAGGCTTTTCTAATACTGCTAATAAAAGAAACGAAGATTTCGTGGTACTGGTAAATTGAAAATCATTGTCAATAGCTGCTACTACATCTTTTCTGGGGCATCACTATAACAAATTTCAATTGAGTTTGCTAAGTCAATATTATAGATTGTTTTCCAAACAAACAGGCAAATCTCTTTAGGTTTGCAACATGAATTAAGGAGTACAATGGTTCTAGAATTCTAGTGATTTTATAGTTCTAGAATTCTGCACCTTCTTAATTAGTGGAATTAAGAAAAGAGAAGGTGTTCTTGGAGAGAGTTATTATAAACTGAAAGTTTAAGCAGGACCTCAAAGCAAATCTTAGGTTGATACATACCTGCATTTGGGGAAATACTGTCCAATAGAAATCTAATGTGAGCCACATAATCTAATTTTTAACTTTCTACTGTCCATACTTTTTTTTTTTTTTTAACAAATGTAAAACGAAACAGGTGAAATATATTTCAATAATCTGTTTTATTTAATCTTACGTATATATTGAAAATATCATTTTAACATGGTGTCTTAATTCTCAAGTGCTGCTATAACAGAAATACCACAAATGGATGGCTTTAACAAGTGGAAGTTTATTTTCTCATGGTTTAGGAGGCTAGAAGTCTGAATTCAGAGTGCTGGCTCTTGGGAATGGGTGTAGCCCCCTTGACCTTGGGGTTCAGCTCTGCTTCTTGTTCCAGCCCCAATGGAGCAAGCTAGAGGCTTCTTTTAAGTCAGGCAGCTGCTGGCTGCTGTGGCTGACAAACGCAGGATCGACAGGTAAAATGGCACAATCCCAACATTGGCAGGTAACATGGCAGACCACTGATTCAAGTCCAGGAACTGGAGATGAAGACTCGGCCAAATGTCAGATGCAACTGTGCCCAAAAACTTGAGACCTTTCCCAAACCTTCTCCGTATATACTGGAAGCAGGCTATACCCAGAAGGTAACTCTCTTCACCTACTTAGCTGCTCACAGCAGATTTCACCATGTAGTTGATTACAGTCTCATCATGGGGGAATAACTACATTCCCAACCCACTCAAAACCATAGTCCAGCCAAGTGGACACAGAACTTTAACTACCCACATAGTAATCAATACAAATATTAATGAGATACTTTATATCTTTTTTTCTTAACAAGTCTTCAAAATCCAGTGCATTTTATACTTACAACACCTCTCACTTTGGACCAGCCACATTTCAAACGCTTACTAGTCATGTGTGGCTATTATACTGCAGAGCACACGTCTAGAGAGTGAGTCTGAGAGTTGAACAATGATTAGGAATATTGGAAGACAGACTCCTTGCAAACTGTAGGTTGTGTAATTAATTCCATGAGCCTCAATGGTTTAGCTTTGGGGCCAATATTGGAATTTTTCTCTATTTCAAACCAGTTTGAATTCTAAGTGGTTAAATTTTATTGATGTCACAAATAAATACAGCCAGATTCTGAATGGATTCTACAGTAAGAATGAAAGATGGCCTGTCCTCAAGGATGATAAGAATTCTGTGTGCTTGCTTGTTCTTGTCTCTTAATGGGAAAAAGAGACTGCTTTCTACCTTGAGGGTATTATTGTTATTACTTTAAAAAAGGGAAATGACGGTTTAAAATTTGGAAAGATAGATTTAGATCTTTCTTTATCTTGATGGGTTGATGGAAAAAATCTCTAGAATACTAATAGTAAAAAAAATTGTCTAAAGAAAATATATGCTGTTATAGTTGAATTTATAACAATATGTTTTATTTGAATTACTCTTTAGAAATTGGAGCAGCATTTTCCAAAATGTATTATATGGAACATTTTACACACCTGTTTGT